CCTCATTCTGTTTCTGGTGATTCCTTTCACCTGCCTCACACCTCTGACCTACACACCAGTTCTTTTATGCAAAAAAAAATAAAATAAAAATGAAACCCATTCCTCTTGTAGGAAGCCACTCTCCACTTTCAAATAGCATTTTGAAAATAATGGGATTAAGGAAACCTTTCCCCAGTTGTGTTTGTACCCTGTACGTTCCAAATTGAAAAGAGATTTTAGGTTAATTAGGTATAAAACACTTAACAGCTCTCTCACAAAAAGTTTCAATACTTTGGCAAATTTCCAATGATTAATTTTGTATGTCAATCTGGTTAGACCAAGATACCCAGGTATTTGGGTATTTTACCAAATACCAATCTAAATGTCACCATGAAGTTATTTTTAAAATGAAATTAGCATATAAATCAGTGAATATTAAGTAAAACATTGCTCTCCCCAATGTGGGTGGGCCTTATCCAGAGAGTTGATGCTTTCAGAGAACAGACAGAGGTCCTTTAAGGAAGAAAGAATTATGCCTCCAGATGACATTTTTTTAAAGATTTATTTTATTTATTAATGCATACAAGAATTGGGCTGTAGGCCAGAAGTGTGTGTGGGGGAAAGGATTCATTAGAGACAGAGGGGGGAGCAGAAAAGGTGGATCTACTGAAATACACTGCTGAGGGAAGCAGCAGGTGAGGAAGGAGATGTCCGCTGTGCCATGCCATGTGGATTAGCTCCCTGGTGGGGATGGAACTCATGCCACAGTGGCTGTTGGTTGATAGCTTTATAGCACTGAGACTTTAACCCCTGTACCACCAGGGAGGCCTGTGATGGCTTTGGTTTTGAGTTGCATTTTCACTACCTTCTAGGCTTCTTGCTTTGCTGACATGCCCTGAAAATTTGGGATTTGTCCTGAAAATGAATCTCTCACTCTCTCTTTCTGTCTCTCTGTCTTTCTCTGTTTTTCTCTGTGTCTCTCTCTATATATATATATGTTTGTGTGTGTGTATGTGTGTGTGTTTGTGTACATATGTGTACATATATGTGTACATATAGAGAGACACACATACATATACATATACATTAATATATAAGCATATACACACAAATATATGTACATATACACACAAAGTAGATCTGTTTTTCTGGACTACCCTGACTAGCCACTCTATTTCTTAATGACTTTTGGGAAATTTTATTGCATTATACAAGCATGTGATGAGTCCTTCTTTTGAACAAGAGTTTCTGCTCACAAAGGGACTTGCTGGGCCTGGTTTTTGCAGCAGTCATTCCCATCAAGATCATAAACATAAGCAGGGAGTCCAATTGTTGTTCTTTTAGCTTTATGACTAGGCATAATATTAATGTTACTGATGAAAAACCATGTCTAGATGAAGATGCACCTCAGATCCTCTTATTGTGGTACATGACACCAATATAATAGACACTAAAACAAATTTTCCTCAGTCTCTCTTATGCATTGATTTGCTTCTTCTTTTCCAAAATTGTGAGGACTTGAAATCTGGTCTTCAATATAGAAAGGGAGCGGAAAACAGTCTCATGCTGATAACAGTGTAAAGTGAAGATGATAAGCTTAAATAACAGGCTTAGACCATGTCAGAAGAATGACTTGCGGTCTATTGGTGCAAGCACCGGAGCACATGTGGCTGCGTGCTGGACTGTTGGTCCTGCCCTACTGTCCCTGCTTCATCAGCAAGAGCAGATTGCTTGAAAGTCAGAAAATTGAGTCACATTTTAGGAACATTGTCGTATTGTCATCCAGAATGTTTGAACTAGAATGGAGGTTTGGGTTCCATGTGTCAGCAGGAAAGGCTTAGGACATTATTGAGGGAGCTCTGCCAGGGATGCATGTGCCAGGGATGTTCAATGCCAATCCTTGCATTTTGAAACAGGTTCTCTCAAGTGTCCTCACCATAGATTTGTCTGGAAGACGTGATCGGGACATTCTTTATCTCCCACTGGAGTTTCCTGAGGATGAAAAATCTTGGGACTGTGTGGCCTGCCTGGATCCAAAGTATATTCTCTGATATTGTCTATGAGTTGAAATCTGAACCTGAGGAATGTCATTTATGAAGTAAAAGTGATGAGAACTGGGGGTGGTCAACTCAGGCAGTGTGACATCACAGAGTGACCGCTTCCTTTGTAGATAGGTATAGGCACATCTTGTAGATAATGGGGTTCCCTTCCGATCACCAACAATAAAGCAACTATTGCAATAAAGTGAACTGCAAATTTTTTTTTTGTTTTACATTGTCTATAACATTATGTTTACCATGTTGTAGCCTATTAATTGTTGAGTAACATTATCTAAAAAAAGTACCTTAATTAAAAATTACTTTATTGCTAAAATTATCATTTGAAACTTTTGCTAGAGCATTTTTTTTTTACTGATGAAAAACCATGTCTAGATGAAGATGCACCTCAGATCCTCTTATTGTGGTACATGACACCAATACAATAAACACTCCCTGACTCCAGGTAGAGGTGCAGAATCATGTGCTACTCACGAGGCCTTTCAGGGGTCCTTGGAATTGGGATCATCAGGGCTTTTGGCATAATAGTACTGACAGTCTACAGGGCAGAAGGACCAACAGGGAAAAACACCACTCAACCCAGTGCCCTCCATAAGGACCACCTTCCTAGAGTGTAATTGAAGAGTCTGAGTTCTGCCATGCACTCCAAGCTGCTACTTCTCCTGCCCAAGTCAGAAGCTGCTGTTACCCCTCCCCAGAATACCCACAAATACCCCTCCCACAAATACCCACATATAGTAGAATGAGAGTGGGGTGGGCTGGAGAAATCTAAATGTCATAATATATATGGGAAAGAGTTGAAAGAAGACAATGAGTACAGCTACCCAAGGGCAGACTGACTTAGTGCTATATAGATGACCTGTGCCATGAGGCCACAGGCCAGTTCCCAGTCTTGTCCTTGGTCTTGAATCTTTCAGATCCTTGTATTTTGACCTCCACTGTTTGAATCTGGCAATTCCAGATATTTCATCTCTTACCCATACAGGCTGGTCGTCTTCCAAATTTCTATCTAGGTGTAGATTTGACAACATCTGAGAGAAACTGAACTATCACAGGTGTTACAAATATGGGCGAGTTTGCTTTAGTCACTCTAACCCCTGGAGAACAGGATTAAGATTCAGGAAAGGGTATATTTGCCACTATAACCCAATTTCTTTTGTGGTTTATCTTCTTTCTGTTACTCTAAGAATACAATGTATTCATGTTGAATTACACACAGATACCTAGAACAAATATTAACTTTTCACAACAAGTACTTTTTTTTTTTTAAAGATTTATTTATTTATTTATATAAGAACTGGGGCAGATGTGCGGGAGGATGAGAGGACTCAGCAGAGACAGCGGGGAACAGAGCAGGCAGACTGAATGAAATACACTGCTGAGGGGAGCAGCGGGTGAGACAGGAGAGGTCTGCTGTGCCATGTGGGTTGCTCCATGGCTGGCAGGGATCCAACAGGCATTGTGGAGGCTGTGGACAGCTTCATAGCACTGAGCTCAACTGCCTGTGCCACCAGGGAGGCCCACAACATTTTGAACCATTAGCAAGATGGTAGACATTTCCTAAATGTCCACTTAATTTTCCAGGCCACCTCTGTCTGGTAGAATCAATACTCCAGGCTACCATGCAGAATAGCTAGTCTGTATTTGCTCACCTTGACCCCTTTTTCCACTTTCCACATGTCCACTGTAAAATAGGTAAAAAGCCATTGTGGGGAGTAAGTATTTTAGTGGCCACTCTATTATATACACAAACACTGGTTTGAAATTAATATTCTAAGGGCTCAAGTCATTACTTTGATAAAGGTCATAGGGATAAGATAATGGGCTTGATTCCATCTCCCAGACACAATGTGTTACCATTAATAATAGCAGCCCCTAGTTATTAGGAGACTTTTATATGCATGATGCCAAGGAAGCTGTTAATGTGTGATATTACTCAGAGGTGGCAGGCAGAGCAGTCTAAAATGATGGACATAGATGCCAGCATTCCAGCACAGCTCAGGTCACTCCATGTCCATGCACCTTCTGTTGCACTTGACAGTGAATTTTTTTTTTTTTTTAAGATTTTTTTTTTAAGACAGGCCAGATGCATGGGAGGGTGAGAGGATTCACCAGAGACAGAGCAGGGAACAGAGCAGGCCGACCGACGAAATATACTACTGAGCGGAGCAGCAGGCGAGACAGGAAAGGTCTGCTCGAACTGGCACTGCAGAGGCAGCAGACAGCTTCACAGCGCTGCGCTCAACTGCCTGCGCCACCAGGGAGGCCCAACAGTGAATTTGTGAAGCCTTTTTGCAAAACACAGTTTGCTACTTTAATGGGGTGCATTCATCTGTCTGTCAGTGTAGTGACTAAATTCCAGTCCTTCCCACCATAAGTTGAAGTTGCTGTGTGGCACTTCAAAAGTGCAACAACAATTAGAAAGGCAAGCCAAACAAATGACAAAAGCCTACACTCATTTCTCCTGTCTGCATTTTCTCTATTTTCTTAGTGAGGAACCACATCAATATTAGTGGAGTGTGTCTGTGAAGGATGGAGCTGTGATCTTGGGATGGCAGGTCAGCTAGAGCAAGAACTAAGGGATAGCTGTGGAACTCTAATGAGAAAGAACAAGAAGCAGTGACAGTTGGGGCCATGGTGTAAGTTGAAAAACTGAAAATTCAGTGTACAAATGAACGAGGAGGAAGATTTGCTATGATTTCTCACTTTGGATGAAAGAGATTGTCTTTGCTTCTTCATCCAGCACTTACTGAACAACTAATATTGCCAGATGTTCCTCTAATCCCTGTAGCTATATAAATTACCAAGGAAGAAAGAAAGAAAGAAAGAATGAATGAATGAAAGAAAGAAAGAAAGAAAGAAAGAAAGAAAGAACAAAAAAAAGAAAGAAAGAAAAAATTAACCCTTGTCTTCATGGAATTGATATTCTAGAATAGATAATATGCAAATAACAGGAAAATGCAGAACGTGTCAAGCCCTGACAGCACAAGTAAGTTTCAAAGGACTTTGATATTTCTAATGCCTGGGTTAAACTCTTTACCCTGATCTTTTCTCACTGTGAGTCTTCAGGTAGATACCTTAAATCTCTCTGAACCTCAGTATCGCATCCACAAAATGCACACCAACACATATTTCAGAGTCAGGAAGGTGGAATGACATGTGCATGGTATGAATATAGGGGATCAGTATGTAAATGTAAATTATTTCACACAAAAATTGTTTTCTTCAAACAATTTTCTTAAGTTTCTACTTTGGATAAGAACTACTTTGAAAATGATTGAATTTTTAACAGTAAATCACGTTTGCTCCTGGTTTAGTTTTAACAGTACTATCTGTTCCAACCCAAATGCCCAAAAATAGATGACTGGATCAAGAAGATGTGGTACATATACACCATGGAATATTACTCAGCATTCAAAATAGATAAACACACGCAATTTGCAGCAACATGGATGGCGCTGGAAGGGATCATGCTCAGTGAAATAAGCCAGAAAGAAAAAGAAAAATACCGGATGGTCTCACTCATAGCAGTCAAGTTTTCACTGCTTAAAAGATGCTTGTAAGGGCCTCTCTGGTGGTGCAACCAGTTAAGATGCAAACTATGAAGCTGTCTGTAACCTCTGTAGCATGAATTAGATCACCAGTCGGCCAGGGAACAGCCCACATGGAGCAGCAAACCTCTCCTGACTAGCCCATTGCTCCCCTCAGCAGTGTACTTCAGTCAATCTGCCTGTTAAGTCCCCATTCTTTCTCTGGTGAAACTTTTCACCCCCCACACCTGTGGCCTATACCCCAGCTCTTGTATGCATAAATAAATAAATCTTTAAAAAAAAAAGATGCTTGTGAAAGTAAAAAATACAGTGTTGCTTATTTACTATTGTGCTTTCCCTTTGAGATTCTAATACCTTTGGAAGTCAGTGGCACGCTCAGATCCCAGCTGGACCTCATCTCTAGCCTAAGTCAACTGCTCGCCAAAGCCAGCCATATCCTTGAATGCCTTCCAGATTTCTATGGGCACTTAAAATCCCTGCTTTGTTCGATATGCCCGAATTTCAACGGGTGTGTGTTTGATCTTGGGCCCTGGGGAAATATTTAGACTTGCTATCTTTGCATTTGCTCTTTTTTCTTTATTTTTCTTCTAACCTCCAAATTTTGCATTACACAAAAATATAGAGGAATGGGGATACCTTTTAATGGCCCTGGAGGCAAAAGAATTACATAAAGTATGGTATATCCCTCAAATCAGATGAAAGAGACTGTGCTGACCTACTTCCTATCCATGCGTGAGTAGTTTGTGGTTTTCATAAAGAAATCACTAAATCAATTATTAGCACAAATGAGATTCTAAGGGTGTGTTTAGCTTAATAATTGGTGCTGGGAAAACTGGACCTCTACATGCAAAAATATGAAACTAGACCATTACCTCTCACCATGCACAAAAATCAACTCAAAATGGATAAAAGAACTGGACATAAGACCTGAAACCATAAAATATATAGAATAAAATATAGGTAAAACACTATAAGACATACATCTCAAAAACATCTTTAAGACTCATCACCCAAAGCAGTGATAGAGAAGGCAAAGAAAAACACCTGGGATTACATCAAACTGAAAAGCTTCTGTACAGCCAAAGAGACATTAACCAAAACAGAGAGACACCCCACTGATTAGGAAAAAAAATCTTTGCACTCCATTCAACTGATAAGGGACTGATCACAAGGATTTACAAAGAACTCACAGAGCTCAACAAAAATAAAATAAACAATCCAATCAAGGAATGGGCAGAAGAACTCAAAAGACATTTCTCCAAAGAGGAAATGCAAATGGCCAACAGGCATATGAAAAAATGTTCAACATCCCTTATCATCAGGGAAATGCAAATCAAAACTACTATGCTGAGATATCACCTTACACCAGTAAGAATGACACATATCAAAAAAACAAGCAACAACAAATGCTGGCAAGGATGTGGTGAAAAAGGAACTCTCCTACATTGCTGGTGGGAGTGCAAACTGGTCCAACCACTGTGGAAAGCTGTTGGGAGTTTCCTCAATCTACTCAAAATGGAGCTACCATATGATCTGGTAATTCCACTACTAGGAATCTACCCAAAGGACACAAAAATATTGATTCAAAAGAACACCTGTATACCTATGTTTATTGCAGCACTATTTACAATAGGTAAAACCTGGAAACAACCCAAATGCCCAAATATAGATGACTAAATCAAGAACATGTGGTATAGAGGAAGAGATCAACATGGCAGCTAGGAAGCACTGTGAATAAGACCTTCCATAAAAAAAAAAAAAAAAAAAATAGTATATAGGGAGGAAAAGCGGCAGGTACCTGTGAGAATTGGGACATGGAAGATAAACGGGCAACTCTGGCAAACTGCCTGAAGAAGAAAGTTGCCATAAAAGAGGACTAGAAGGGAGGAAAGCTCAGAACCCTGCTACCCTCCCCCACCCACAAAGTCGGCACTCTCTGACCAACAGAAAGGAGGAGAAAACAAAAACAAAACCTAAAACAACCAAATAAGAACAAACTACACATCAAGTGGGACTGTGAGTGGAAAGGAACTATTTCAGCCACAACACCCTGTAAACTGGAATTGTGCAGGAATCGCCACAGAGGTGATCAAACAGCTCCAGGCACCATTAGAGAAAAACAAAGACTCCCAGAGACCTACAAATATCCCAAGGCCAGCCTGTAAGCTTGTGCGGAAAAATGGCACCCTTGAAAAGCACACACAGATCGCAGCTGCCCAGGTCCCCCACGCCTGCAACCTAGGCTTTCGGAGAGACGCGCGGGAGCCCTCATTGAGGTGAAAGTCCCTCACTGAGTAATCAGAAACCAGGCGCCCAGACAAGGGAGCAGGATGCAAAAGACACCATTTCTGCGGATACTGAACTGGGCTACAGCCCGAGTCCTGGATCTGAGGGCTTTGTGCGGGATATCCACAACTGTGGGGCACAGGGCAGACATAGCACCACGCCATTGAAATGCTCCACGCCACTCCCACTCTGTTCCCTGCGGCCCACAGGGGAAAAAAAAAAAAAAAACAGTTCTGGAAGGACACTAGGAAAGATCTCTGGCGCCACCTAGCCCAGAGAAAATATCACCAACACCCTATGGTTGGAAACCAGGGATCCCAAATACACCCTCAGACTCTGAGAGAGGGTGGGCCATGCAAACAGGTGTAAGGAGGGAAATAAGGCATGGAGCAAGACCCCAACCTAGAACTGAGAGCCAGGCTCAGAATCTGGGGCATGGGACACGCCATAGCAGCAGGCACTGCACAGGGTGACAGCCAGCATTTTGGATCTGGCAGCCCTGGAAATGAGACCTAGAGTACAGAATTCAGGGTGCGGGATCCATACAGCTGTGGGCACAGCACCGGGTGAACACGGGACAAACACAGCACCCAGCTTGAAAAGAGCCTCTGTGTTGAGGTGCTCCCCTCCACCCCACTCCACTACTCAGAGAACCACTGGGAAAAAGCACAGGTCAGCAAGAAGGTGTCTCTTGCGTCACCTTGTGACCAGAACAAAATCACCAACTAGCTGATTCCCTGTTGGAACTGTGTAAATACAGAGGGAGCAAACTGTAAGGGACAGTGCCCAGCAACACAGCATCAACACCCTGGTGGAGTTTTGTCCTACCAGTGCTGGTCTCTCTCAGTCTGGTAAACAGTTTCTGACATCCCTAAAGAAGCACTCCAGAGAGATGCCTGCCAACACCAGTGGCACAACATCCCAGTGCATAGAACTAATTAGAAAGCACACAACAGGGAGAAGAAAAAATATAAATAACCAAGCAAGCCTGCAGGGGGACACACCACAAAAAGAAATATAGTCACCATAGCTCAACGATGACATGGAAGAACTTCTCGGTCTATCAGATAGAGAATTAATAATCATCATGATTAAAAAGCAGAAAGAAAATGAAAAGGAAAAAAAAATGATTTGAGACAAATACTCACTGAACTGAAGAATGAAATTGAGACTTTAAGAAAGGAAAGAAAAGAAACGCAGGAGATTAAAACATTACTAGAGGAGATAAAGAACTCTGGGAAAAGCAATGAAAACAGAATCGATGAAATGGAAGAATGGATCAGTACTATCGAAGATACAGAAATAAAAAAAGCTAAAAGAGAAAAGGAGAGAGAAGTGCAAATGAAGCAGTATGAGGAAACTCTTAGACAATTATCAAACTCCATGAAGAGAGGAAATGTAAGAGTTATAGGCATTCCAGAAGGTGAGGAGAGAGACAAAGGAAATGAGCAATTATTCAAGGAGAAAATTGAAGAAAACTTCCCAAGTGAAAAAGGAGATGAATATAGACATACAAGAAGCGAGAAGAACTCCCAATTACCATAATGTAAAGCTGGAAAGAATCCAAGGCAAGGAAAAAATAATGAAATTGGCAAAGGGGAAGAAACAGCAAACTTCAAGACAGCAAATGCCAACCAAGAATACTTTACCTACAAAGCTCTCCTTCCTCTACGAAGAAAAAAAATATGGACTTTCCCAGACAAACAGAAACTTCAGAAATTCATTACAACTAAACCCCCACTCCAAAAAATTCTACAAGAAGTCCTAAAGCCAAAACCAACAGAGGAATGACCAAAAAAAGAATAAAGCAAGGAATAAAATCACAAAAAAGACAAACAAAATGACACAGATGCCAACATATCAATATTAACTCTAAATGTAAATGGATTAAACTCATCAATAAAAAGACACAGTAGGATGCATTACAAAAAAAAAAAAAAAAAAAAAAAAAAAACAAAACAACCCTACCTTCCACTGTATCCAGGAAACACATTTAACCACAAAAGATAAGCATAGACTGAAAGTAAAAGTTTGGAAAACAATCCTACAAGCAAATGGACCAGAAAAGAAGGCAGGAGCAGCCATACTTATATCAGATGAAATAGACTTCAAATTAAAAAAGATAAAAAGAGACATAGATGGACACTACTTTATGATCAAGAGGACAATACATCAGGAAGATATAACACTCATCAACATATACTCACCAAATGAAGGGGCACCAAGATGTATTAGAAAATTATTACCAGCTCTGAAAACAGATATTAAATAAAATACATATATAGTGGGAGACTTCAACATCCCAATCTCACCAATTGACAGATCAATGAGACAAAAAATAAACAAAGACACTACAGCCCTGGACTTAACAGATATCTATAGGACACTGCACACAAAAAAATCCGAGTACACATTTTTTCTCCAGTGTGCTTGGATCATTCCCCAGAATTGATCACATACTGGGCCACAAGACAAACATCAATAGATACATGAAAATCAAAATTATTCCAACTATCTCCTCCGATCATAAAGGCATCAAGCAAGAAGATGTGATATAAATACACAATGGAATATTATTCAGCAATCAAAAAAGATAAACTCATGCCATTCACAGTGATGTGGATGGAGCTAGAAGGAATTATGCTCAGTGAAATAAGCCAGAAGGAAAAAGAAAAATATCGGATGTTTTCACTTATAACAGGAATATAGGGGAACCAAATAAGACATCAGTGTAAAAAAATAATAATTACAGTACAAACCACAACAAAGCAAAAACAGACAATTATAAACCAGAGACATACTGCAGGAAAGGAGGAGGGAGAGGGGTGAGAGGGAGGAAGGGAGGAGCACAGGGGACTGTGGTGATGGTGCATGGGTGCGTTGGGGAAGGAAATTCTAGGGGGACTCAATCTGAGGGGGTGGAGGGAAGCAAATATTGTCTAAAAATGTAAAAAAAGGGAGAGATGTTAAAAAAAGAAAGTAAATTGCTTTCAAAAACCTTAACATTTTTATTTACATATATAAATAATTGGATTAAATTACAGACCATTTGCTGAATGATATTAGTTTGTGATATTAGATTTTGCTTGAATGCTTTCTTCCTGAGATGGACTGATTGGGAAGAGGAGTTATGTGGGAGTACCCAGAGACAGAGTTCTGTGGTGAGGGATGGAGGGCAGTGTCTTCAGAGCTGCTGCCGGGGCAGGACCACACTATGCTCAACAGCTGGGTAATTTGGATAGTTGTTAAATATCTGGACAATTTGGCAGTAGAGACACATATTAAAACCATTCATTTGGCTGAATTGGTGATAGTTTATGGACTTAGATATTATTACTGGAAAAAGAAAAAAACAAGAATTTTCCAGGGTGTGTGTGTGTGTGTGTGTGTGTGTACATGGAGTTTATGTTGTATTTCTTTTACTAGGATGTAGGCTAAAGCAAAACATTAGAGTGTTTTAAAAAGTATTTCAAAGACACAAAAGAGTGAAGCAGAGATTCCAAATCTTGACATGTTGAGCATCTTGTATATTCAATCAAGAAAGGACTGTGCTTACAGAAATTTGTGAGAGAGTTACTCTTGGTCACTGTTTAATTGCAGTTCATTTTTTTTTCTTGTCTCCAGGTTTCAAAAGATGATCAGACCAGAAGTTCAGTCTTCACTTCATTCCAGTCTGTGATGAAGATGATTTGTAAGGATCAAACATCTTTTCTTAGCAATGCAAAAACATTTATCGACTTGCCAAGAGTTAATGAACCCTTGGAAGATGACAAAGAAAAATTCAACTGAAGATTAAAGTGAGAACTGATAAGTAATCCTTCTTTATTCAGATTAGTTTTCAATTTGGTTATTAAAGCTCACTTAAAGTAAACATTCTGTCTGTAAAGTGGGTACATACCTGGCAAAGAATTTTCTACTTTAGCCTTCTTACTATTGTTCTTCATTTTTGTAAGGCTGCCAAATGTTCCATGTAAACTCCTTCCACCCTTGAGCAAGGCTGATCCTTTCACCTGTGACTCCAAGGAACTGGGTTTGAAAGGTCTCATATAGGTGAATCACTGGTCCCTTTGGAAACTCTGCCCAGCCACTAGTGGTGAATAATCTAGGTTAGCAGAAAACGAATACCGTGTTCATCCTTATAAAATGGATGTATCATATAACAAGAACTCTATGTGATTTCCTACAAATTTGCCCGCTAGAAAGCTAAGAAGTAAAGGACAATATCCCTGTTATTGTTGATAAATGGTCTGTGGATTTGAAAAATTTCCATTTCAAATGGACACATCTTAGTTAGAAAGGCAGATTGAACAAAATAGGTTTAGAGTCATCAGCCCTACCACAAGTTGTACATGTTGGTCACATAACCTTTCTCTTTGAGTCATGTTTGTTTCATCTAAACATGGAAATAATACCCACCTCATAAAGTTGTTTAGAATCAGGGGTTTGATGCATGTTAAATGCTTTCTCCCAGTGATATCATTATTTCCTAGTGTGTCAGTTTTCTATGCTGCACAGCAAATCACCATGCACTTACTGGTTTAGGACCATGTACACATATAATCCCATTGTTTCTGTAGGTCAGGATTTGGGCATTCACAAGGCTACAGCACAGTTATGCTAGGATTGGGGCTGGGGTTTCATCTGAGGTGGCTGTTGGTAGGATTCTTTTCTTGCAGTTTTAGAATCCATGGATGTTGTATCTCTAAGTCCATCAGGGATGTCTCTCTGCCCTCTTAGCCCATACCTCCAGCTCCACATGCATGCACTCTCTTTTTTTCCACTTTGAGGCTTCCAGTCTCTTTTTGAGGATTTACCTGATAGCTCAGCCAGCAAAATCTCCCTTTCGATTAGTAGAGCATCAGTTGACTAGGAATTTTAGTTACATCTTCAAAATTCCTCACCGTGGCTAGGTAACCTGATCATGGGCAAGATATCCATCATATATATTCCAGACGAGGTCTGAATGCCAAGAGCCATTTTAGAATTCTTCGTACCACACTCAAGTGCATCTATGTATACATTGTGTCTGTGATGGACAGCAATATTGCTGGTGCTGGAGAAAAGGAGAGAGAGTGTGTATGTGGAGCTGGAGGTGTAGGCTAAGGAGGCAGATAGGAAAATCCTTAGACACAGTGTTTCAGTATGTTCATCAGCCTGTAAATAATTGGATAGTTGACAGACACAATAAAATACACTTTGGTATTATAAACATATATTATGGCTATTAATATTTAATGATTTTTGCTTTCTGCTTTCCTAATCCTCATTTTGTGTGTGTTTTTATTTGTATTTAGATTTCTTGAGGATTATTCATTTGTTGACCAAGTCTAATCATACAATCATTTATCCATCCATCCATCCATCCATCGATCCAATCATTTAGCTAACATTGAGGGACAGTCTTTCTTTATCTTTCCATACATTTTTATTTCAAATAATTGCCCCATTATTCATAGAAAATATTAGTGTTGTCATTTCTCAGATAACATGATAGAACCAATTGATAAAGCTAATTTCATAAGAAAAACTTAACACTGGTCTTAATATTGTGACTGCTGAAATTTTTCTATAATGTTTCTTTCTTATTACTATTTTCTTCAGGTGACTTTGAAATGATTTAGTGCTCTAAGTGGTAACTTAATTTGAAAATGTGAAGGTGATTTTTTTTTGGTCCCAAGTTATTGATGTGAACACTGTACTTTAAAATTTTCTATGAAATAGAACAACTAAAGACAATTAGAAGGAAAATTTATCCTGAATTTACTGTCTAAATTCAGAATTGTGTCATGAAAAATACTTACAGATTATTTATTGAAAAGTGAGGATAAAGAAATGAATATCCCTATTAAACTGGGCATCCTGTACCATGAGTAACACTTTTTTTTTTTTTTAATTGCAACAGCACCCTTTGCATGAAGCTTTATCAGGAAATTCTACAGTTTCCAACTGGTGCTTCCTAAAACCTGTGTTACATGGAAAAATCTTGTATACACAAAACACCCGAGAAATCAATAAGGTCATCCTTATTGAATAAGTGAGGATTTTATAAACCATACAAGAACTAGATTGGAAAGAAAACTTGTTAAAATTGTTCTGTGTAATTATCATGTAGATGGAATTACATAAAATGCTCTTACATTAACTACAACTCACTTTGGTGTGGGTTTTTCCCTGTTATTGTTGTTAAATTTTATTTGCTTAGTCATTATCTTAGAGAACATTTGGGGGTCTTGAGATATTATTTGGGGTAACTAATGCAGTGAGTACAATTAGAAAAGAACATAATGTGAAGAACAGTTGCTAATCTGCTTTGCTTGATGCAGTGGTAATTTAGGTAAATGAGACCCGGTGAGTATGCAGCTGGGATCTGGTATTGACCACTTGGCATTATTTGATTCAACCCATGGACATTTAGTGTAGATGACAAGGCCAGTTTCTCCAGGAGAAATTTAGATATTGTGTGGTACTACTTGTTTTCTCTTATATTGTTTGCACTTTGAAACCTATTTATGAAGGACTTATTATTAATTGATAGTGTACTTAAAAATGTGTGTTAGGAGATTTCTTGACCTAGTAAAGATAGAGCTTCCATATGATCCAGCAATTACACTCCTAGGTATTTACCCAATTGACACAGAAACAGCAATTCCAAAGAGCACCTGCACCCCTATGTTTATAGCAGCACTGTTGCAATAGCTAAGCTTTGGAAACAACCCAAATGCCCAAAAATAGATGACTGGATCAAGAAGATGTGGTACATATACACAATGGAATATTGCTCAACAATCAAAAAAGATAAACAAATGCAGTTTGCAGCAACATGGATGGAGCTAGCAGGGATCATGCTCAGCGAAGTAAATCAGAAAGAAAAAGAAAAATATCGGATGGTCTCACTCATAGCAGGAATCTAGAAACTCCTCACAGTACAGCCCTCCCTTTCCCTTGGGTTCCAGTCACCTATGGTCAACCAAAGTTCAAAAGTATTACCTACAATAAGATATTTTGTAAAAGAGAGACCATACTTAAATAACTTTCTATCTGTTCTATTTTATTTTTTTTAAAGATTTATTTATTTATTTATACAAGCACTGGGTGCACTCAGAAGTGCGGGAGGGTGAGTGAATTCACCAGAGCCAGAGCAGGGAGCAGAGCAGGCAGAAGGACCCAAGTACACTGCTGAGGGGAGCAGTGGGTGGCAGGAGAGATCTGCGCGCCATGTGGGATCCTCGCCCGGGGGCCAGGGATCGAACCGGTGCTGCAGAGGCTGCGGGCAGCTTCGCAACCCAGCGCTCAACCGCTGCACCACGGGGGAGGCCCTATCTGTTCTATTTTATTACTAGTTATTGTTATGAATCTCTTACTGTGCCTAACTTGTACATTAAGCTTTATTACAGGTTTATACACAGGACAGGAACAGGAAAAATCAGTACACATAGCGTCCAGTACTGTCAGGTTTCAGGCACCCACCTGGAATGTATCCCCAAAGGGAAGGGGGAATATTCTATCTAGATTAATGTCATTTTATTGTGAGAATCCAAACCTTTGGCAAATACCCCTACAAAAAGACATTTTTAAGATTAAAGCCAGCAGTTATTGAATGTATTCAGAACAAGCTAAGGCACACGCAGGCCTGAGCTAAGTCACAGAGCAAGGAATAAAGGTCTCTAGGGGTGAATTGCTGCCACACCTCACAGCAAGCATGGCGTGGTGGGGGGGAATCAGAAATAACTGCTTGCATAACCCATGCTGCTCTTAACTGACTTTTTTTAGATTTAAAGTTAGCACTATTTAAAGCTTAGGGTTTTATTCATCACTAGATCTTGGTATTTCCTCTTTGACTGTAGCATCTGATCATTTTCATGTCCCCTGTGAAGTTCCCTAAAGGTGCTTAGCCTGATAAGTCACCTTCAGACAAGAAAACAAGACCCCAGGAAAAAAAAAATACATTTTTTAAAAGATTTATTTATTTATTTATTTATTTATTTATTTGTTTGTTTATTTATTTATTTATTTATATAAGAACTGGGGTATAGGCCTGATGTGCGTGAGGGCAAGAGGATTCACCAGAGACAGAGTGGGGAACAGAACAGGCAGACTGACAAAATACACTGAGGGGAGCAGTGGGCAAGACAGGAGAGATCTGACACGCCATATGGGCCCCCTACCAGCCTACAAGGATTGAACTGGTGCTCCAGGGCTGCGGACACCTTCACAGTGGGGCGCTCATCTGCCTATGCCACCAGGGGAGGCCCTAACACACCTTTTTTTTTTAATATTTTATTTTATATAATTCTTACATCATTTTTCATTTTTGCACAATGTATGCATTTTCATTTTGGTTATCTTCCCCATAAAATTGCACCCCCCTTATTTTGCTTAGCCTTCCTCTCCCCTGCTCCCCCCAAACCCATAGTGTGTCTCTGGGTGTGAGCTCAGCTTCCAGCTGCCATTCCAGGATTGTGTTTCCAATTGGCACTTACACCAGGCCTGGAGCCAAAGACAATTATGCAGACTCCCATGGTACCTTAAGCTTTTAAGGGGCATGGATATTTTAGACTTTTTATAGAAAATGACTTTATATCAATTTTTAATTTTAATTTAAAAATTGTCCTGCAGTAGGGCCTCCCCTGGTGGCGCAGGCAGTTGAACACAGCACTGTGAAGATGTCCGCAGCCTCTGCAGTGCTGGTTTGATCCCGGCTGGCAGGCGAGAATCCCACATGGTGAAGCAGACCTCTGCTGTCTCGCCCTGCTGCTCCCCTCGCAGTGTATTTCAGTCAGTCTGCCTCTTCTGTTCTCCATTCTTTCTCTGGTGAATCCTCTCCTGGTGAATCCTCTGTCTCTGGTGAATCCTCCTGCACATCTGGCCTGTGCGCTGGTTCTTGTATGCATGGATAAATAAATCTTTTTAAAAAAATACCCTGCAATAACCTGGTTTAAAACATTGTAAGGGCTTCAAGTACATAACATTATACTTCAACATCTATATATGTGACATTATGATTGCCATCGAAAGTCTAGTTTTCTACCAGCATACATAGCTTTATTTTAAATTCAAATTTTTAAACAGGTTATGAATTTATTTTTTTGACTATATCATATATGTTTTTGATTATATTATAAATTTTATACACTGATATTGTTAATAATGTCTATTACTAGAGTATCACATACTATTCTATATTTTATGATTTAACTATTAGTAAGGCAGTTTCTGCTTTTGAAGCACTCACCCTGCAATGGGGAAGACAAACATCAGAAGAAAAAATTAGATATGTTATGAGATATTTGTTCATTGTGGCAGGGCACAGAGAGGCAAGCAACTAGTATTCCTGTAAATAATGATTTAGCAAAGCATTTGGAGGGACGTGTGGGTAGAACTCCAAAAAGGTGAAGGAGGGAGGAAGATCAGCCAGGACGCAGGTGTGGGAGGGGAGGAACACCATGTACTGAGAATAGTGAAAAGTTTAGAAGAATAACCAAAGATCTCATTAATTCTGGCTTAGGCCCTTTTTAGGTTTTATGGATAGAGACCTGAACTGGACGATTTTTACTTATTTTATGTGACCAGTGACTTTGTATGTAGGTGGTCTAGCTTTGTGCTTATAAAGCTAGTGTCATAGCATTGCAGTTGAAATGAATTATCCTAGTTGTTAGCCATGGTCATATAGTTTTATGAAAACTGACTCTAGTTATTAGACTTCTGGTGACAATCCCACATAGCTTGGAAGTCCCTAGAAGTTTTGCAACATGTATTGTATGAAGCAAAATCATCTATTAGGATGGAGTGACCAGTGTTATAAATTACATATTATTTATTCTTCTTCCCTCTATTGCTTCCTATTAGACAGAACCATATGAAATTGTCATTTATATAAAAAAGTACATAAAATTGGTAATTTCATGTGGCTCCCCCTGACACCCCACTAAGGGTGTTACAAAGAAACATGATTGTGGTAAGAATGATCATTTTTGCATGACTGGGAAATTGGGAAGGCTAACGATCCATTTAATCTTTGACTTATCACTCTCACTTTAATGCGATATTTTCCTTTGCTAGTAAAATGAAAGACTTAAGAAATATCCATGATTTGGAATATTACTCAGCATTCAAAAAAGATAAACACATGCAATTTTCGCAACATGGATGGTGCTAGAAGGGATCATGCTCAGCGAAATAAGCCAGAAAGAAAAAGAAATATACCAGATGGTCTCACTCATAGCAGGAATCTAGAAAACTTAAATAAGGGACCAGGAAAATGAATAACTATAAAAAAGTAAAAATCAAAATCAACAAAAAACTATGAACTAGAGACACTCTATGGGGGGTAGGGGGTGGGGAGGGGAGAATTGGGGTCAAAATAAGGGGGTTGCAATTGTATGGGGAATATAAAAATAAAATTTATTAAAAAGAAAAAGAAATATCCATGATTTATACTAATTTGGGTGACTGTTCTTCATGGGGGTACATGCAACAATTTGGGTGACCTTACGATGTCCTTCCTTTATCTAGACTGGTGCACTTCTTGGTGGGGATGACCATCCCACTGACAATCTCTATTCCCTCCAGGGAAGTATAGACACTAGTGATGGACAGAGAACTCCTAAGGACACTCCCCAAAAATGATGACTAACAGTTTTAGGGAGTACTCAATTCATACTCTGAGACTATTATAATCAATGTTTATGAAAGTATACTTCCATGTCATCATTAGAAATTTCAGTATACCAGGATGCTCTTTTTAGGTTGTAAATCATGACTGTGGTTGGTTTTGATTATCAGCTGGTGCAAAAATTGATAAATAATATGAAAACACCATGGGAGGCTTTCAGAGAAGTTATAAAAGTAAAAACAGATGAAAGGTTAGACTTCACTCCCAGGGATCATGCTCAGCGAAGTAAATCAGAAAGAAGATGAAGAGAGTTATATTTGTTTTTAATCCTGGCATACACATCAACAATTTCACTGTCTCAGATGCAGTTTCAATCACTGTTTATTGATCACTTAATTCTACAAGCTTTGAAGAATAATCATGGATATTTTCCAATCCTCTTATTTACTTCTTACAAGAACCAGAGGGGTAGAAATACTGGACCAATTTCTCAGATTAAAATAATTGAAATTTGTGAAGATTTACATTTCCAAACTTATTAGCTGACCAGTGGAAGCATAAGTTTCTAGTACTGTATAGTATAGCTTCTGTTATTATAGTTGTTCTGGGAGGTTGGATACCTAATTAAAAAAACCACTTTTTTATGTCTTTAGGTGGAAATGTGTGGATTTTGTCTATCTTCAAAACTGACTACTTTCAAAGCAGCACTTTTGGAAGGATGAGAATGAAATCACACAGGTGAAAGGTGAACACATACCTACTGCTATTTTTGTAATTAAGGGGAATAAAGCCTGGTGATAAAGTAATATAAATAGAAATGAAAATACTTGACTCTGTGATACTTATCAAAAATGAAAAGTGTCAGACAAATAGAAGCTGCCCAGACTAGAGTCTAAAATAGCTGTAGGCTAGGCCTCCCCAGTGGCACAGCGGGTGACCGCTGGGTTGAGAAGTTGCCTACAGCCTCTGCAGCACGTGTGCGATCCCCGGCTGCTCCCAGGCCGCTGCCCGGCCACCGGAGGAGTGTCCGACATGGCATGCAGACCTCTCCTGCCACCCGCTGCTCCTCTCAGTAGTGTACTTCGGGCCTTCTGCCTGCTCTGCTCCCTGCTCTGGCTCTGGTGAATTCTCTCACCCTCCCGTGCTTCTGACTGTACCCAGTGCTTGTATAAATAAATAAATAAATCTTTGAAAAAAATAAATAAATGAAAGATTAAACCTTTAAAAAAAAAATAGCTGTAGGCTGTTTATCTGTACAGAGCAGTGTGTGAAGTGACTGGCAAGACCCCCAGGCAGTTATACAGTGTCCTCAGGGAGTCCTGTGGAGAGAGAGGAAGGCAAGGCAATCTGCTTTCTGCCTGTAAACATCTAATCAGTGATCTGAGAGTTAAGTCTTCAGTAGCCAGCCTGGAACAAGGCTTTCAGATGGGCAAGAATGTCTGACTTGGAACATTTCATTGAAATCCTGCAAAGTTGAGACCGGGTGCATAGGGAGTGCATCCCACATCGCCATTTTAGAACAGGGACATTTCTTCAGTAAAGACTGCCTGAAACCAGCAGAAGGCTCCCAGAAGAGCCAGAGGTGAGCTGGGAAGTTCGCCCACGCCAGAACCCTTCTGGCCTGCAGTCCCAGCCCAGAGGGGGAGCGGGAACACACCGCTGGGGCTGACCAGGTGCACATATATTCACCATACGAAGGAGCACCAAAATATATCAGACAACTATTGTCATCTCTGAAAACAGACATCAGAGAAAACACATACATAGTGGGAGATTTCAACACACCACTATCAACAATGGATAGATCAACAAGACAAAATATAAGTAAAGACACTAAAGCTCTAAATAAGGATCTAGAGTGCATGGTCTTAGAAGACATCTATAGAACACTAAACCCCCCACAAAAAAAACGGAGTACACATTTTTCTCAAGCTCACATGATTCATTCTCCAGGATCGATCACATACTGGGACACAATACAAACATCAACAGATACACCAAGAACGAAATCATACCAACCATCTTTTCTGACCATGAAGGCATCAAACTAGAAATAAACAATAAAAAGAAGGCAAGGAACTCTCCTAACTCATGGAGATTGAAAACCACACTACTGGAAGACCACTGGACTAATGAGGAGATCAAAGAAGAGATTAAAATATTCTTTGCATTGAATGACAAGGAGAACACCAATTTCCTAAATATATGGGATGCAGCAAAAACAGTAATAAGAGGAAAATATATAGCAATAGAGGCTCACATCAAGAAACAAGAAAGAACTCAAAGAAACAACAAAATCTTGAAGCTCAAAGATCTAGAAAAAGAACAACAACAACAAAAAAACCCAAAACCAGTAGAAGACAAGAAATAGTAAAAACCAGAGCAGAAATAAATGAAATTGAAACCTAAAAAACAATCCAAAAGATCAATGAAACCAAGAGCTGGTTCTTCAAAAAAATCAATAAAATAGACAAAGCCCTAGCCAGGCTCGCAAAGGAAAAAAGGGAGAAAGCACAAATAAACAGGATCATAAATGAAAGAGGAGAAATCACAACGGACACAGCAGAAATCAAAAGAATAATCAGTAACTACTATGAACAGTTATATGGAAACAAGTTCAACAATCTAGAGGAGATGGACAAATTCCTACAACTCTACAATCACCCAAAGCTAGATAAAGAAGAAATAGAACACCTAAACAGACCAATTACAAGCAGCAAAATTGAAATGGTAATCAAAAACCTCCCCAAAAACAAAAGCCCAGGACCTGATGGATTTACAAATGAATTATACCAAACATTCAGAAATGAACTAGTGCCTATCCTTCACAAACTCTTCCAAAAAATTGAGAAGGAAGGGACAATACCAAACACGTTCTATGAAGCCAACATTACACTAATACCAAAACCGAACAAGGACAACACAAAAAAGGAAAACTACAGGCCACTCTCCCTAATGAACACTGATGCAAAAATCCTCAATAAAATTTTAGCTACCAGAATCCAACAATGTATCCATAAGATAATTCACCACGACCAAGTAGGATTCATTCCAGGGACACAAGGATGGTTCAACATCCAAAAATCAATCAACGTTATCCAACACATCAACAAAAAGAAATATAAAAACCATATGATAATATCAATAGATGCTGAGAACGCTTTCGACAAAGTGCAACACCCATTCATGATAAAAGCCCTTGAAATTCTTGGGATACAAGGAACATACCTCAACATCATAAAGGCCATATATGACAAGCCAACAGCCAGTATCATTCTCAATGGTAAAAAGCTGAAAGCATTTCCATTAAGATCTGGAACAAGACAACTGTCTACTCTCACCACTGCTTTTCAATATAATACTGGAAGTCCTAGCCAGAGCAATAAGATAAGAGAAAGACATACAAGGAATCCAAATAGGAAAAGAAGAAGTCAAACTATCACTATTTGCAGATGATATGATAATATACACAGGGAACCCCAAAAACTCCACAGAAAAACTAGTTCAACTAATCAATCAGTTCAGTAAAGTGGCAGGATACAAAATCAACACGCAAAAGTCAGTAGCCTTCCTATATACAAACAATAAACTGAAGAAGAAATAAAAAAAAAAAAATCCCTTTTTTTATCTAAACAAACAAAAAAAATCAAATACTTGTGAATAAATCTAACAAAAGAGGTAAAGGACCTATACAAAGAAAACTATAAAACACTGTTAAAAGAAATAGAAGAAGACACAAAGAAATGGAAAGACATCCCCTGCTCATGGATTGGAAGAATAAACATTATTAAAATGGCCATCCTACCAAATGCAGTATACAGAATCAATGCTATTCCAATCAAAATTTCAATGTCATTCTTCAAAGAAATAGAACAATTATTGATGAAATTCATATGGAATCACAAAAAACCCTGAATAGCCAAAGTTCTCCTAAAAAAAAAAGAAGGGAATGGAGGCATCACACTCCCAGACTTCAAACTTTACTACAAAGCCATAATCATCAAAACTGCATGGTATTGGAACAAGAAAAGACACACAGACCAATGGAATCAAATAGAAAATCCAGAAATAAACCCACAGATTTATGGTCAACTAATCTTTGACAATGGAGCAAAGACTATGCATTGGAGCAAAGAAAGTTTGTTCAATAAATGGTGCTGGGAAAACTGGATCGCTACGCGTAAGACCTGAAACCATAAAATACATAGAAGGAAATATAGGCGAAACACTACGTGATATGCACATCAAAGACATCTTTACAGACACATCACCCAAAGCAGTGATAGTGAAGGCAAAGATAAACAGCTGGGACTACATCAAATTTAAGAGACAATCACAAAAACAAAGAGAAATCCCACCAACTGGGAGAACATTTTTGCACACAACACTAATGATAAAGGACTGATCACAAAAATCTTCAAAGAGCTGATGAGACTCAACAACAACGAAGAAAATAATCCTGTCAAAAAATGTGCAGAGGTGCTAAAAAGAAAATTCTCTGAAGAGGAAATGCAAATGGCCAACAGGCATATATAAAAATGTTCAACATAACTTGTAATCAGGGAAATACAAATCAAAACTACCATGAGATACCATCTTACACCAGTGAGAATGGCACATATTAAAAAAAACTAGCAACAACAAATATTGGCGAGAATGTGGAGAAAAAGGAACTCTCCTGCACTGTTGGTGGGAGCGCAAACTGGTTCAACCACCATGGAGAGCTGTGTGGAGATTTCTAGACCTACTAAACATAGAGCTTCCATATGATCCAACAATTCCACTCCTAGGTATTTACCCAAAGGACACAGAAACTTCAATTCCAATGAGCACCTGCACCTCTATGTTTGTAACAGCACTGTTTACAATAGCTAAGCTTTGGAAACAACCCAAATGCCCAAGAATAGATGAGTGGATTGAGAAGATGTGGTACATATACACCATGGAATATTACTCAGCATTCAAAAAAGATAAACGCATGCAATTTGCAGCAACATGGATGGCGCTGGAAGGGATCATGCTCAGTGAAATAAGCCAGTTAGAAAAAGAAAAATACCAGATGGTCTCACTCATAGCAGTAATCTAGAAAACTTAAATAAGGGACCAGGAAAACGAATAACTATAAGAAAGTGAAAATCAAATTCAACAAAAACTATGAACCAGAGACACTCTATGGGGGATGGGGGGCAGGGAGTGGAGGGATTGGTGTCAAAATAAGGGGGTTGCAATTGTATGGGGAATATAAAAATAAAATTCATTAAAAAAAAAAGAAATCCTGCAAAGTTACCCAGAGAAGTAATTACATTTGTGAATAGACTTGTTTGATATAATCCCCTGTAAAACAGCAATTCCCTAAGAAAGCAATATCAATAGGTCTATAAATATACTCTTCCTGTGAAATGAGACAACAGCCATCCCCTAAAGACAGGCAATGATGTTTCATAGATTTGAATGTTTCATGCTTACATCATTCTTTCTGTAAAATCCAATGCCACAGGTTATTTAGCCTATCAACACAAGATAGAGGGCAAAGAAAAGGACACAAGCATGTTCAACCACTAAAGGAGACCAGTATTACCACTATGTCCACTTTATAAATAAGGCATAGAGAGCTTAGACAATTTGTTCAAGGCCTCTGGTCAATCCTCAGCCAAGTTGAGACATAAACACATGTCCTTTGATTCAAAACTTATCTTGGTCCCTTTAGGTCATTCAACCTGCATTGAAAGAGAGCACATAAAGGAG